AGAGAAACAGACGATAATACACACAATATTCGGTCTCCTCTCAAAGTGATTAAGTGTTATGGAGAATGTGACAAAATTTGCCATTTTACAGAAGATAGCGAGGGTAGGTCTCGCTATTTTAGGCAGAGCCCTGAGTGAAGTGAGGGGACTAGAGTGTTCCAGGCAGAGGAAGTAGCAAGTGCAAAGGCCCTGAGGTGGAGCCTGCAGGCAGGACAGCAGTGCCTGAATCAGGGAGGGGGATGAGATTGGAAAGGTAGCCCGAGGCAAATCATGTAGACTCTATACTGTAGGACCTTACAGGCTTTTGACTTTTATTCTGAGAATGATATAATAGAATGCCATTGGAACATTTAGAGTTTAATTTCATTTTAACCTTTTGTGGGTCCTGAATGTCTTTGGCAGTCTGATGAAACCTGTGGAGCCCTTTATGGAATAATGTTTTTAAATGTATGAAGTCCAGTGGATGTCAAAGAAACCATTTATATGGAAATACATAGATTAAGTTCCCCTGCAAGGGACACACATGCTCTGATTTACATTTTCAAAGGATTGCTCTGATTGCTGTATGGAGAATGGCCCGTAGGGGCCAAGAATGGAAGCCCCAGGACCAGTAAGATGGTGGGGTTGACAGCAAAGCTGTTTTATTTATCCTGCAGGGCAGCGGCCTTGGAAGTAGCATTGTACAACACAGGCTTTTTGAAGGCAAGAAGAAAAATGTGTAACATCTATTTACATTTAATTTACCCTCATTCTTTTTAATTGCTCTATGGAGTATGTTTTACAATATCCTAATATATTAGGACATTAGTACATTTATATAGTTCATGAATAAATTGACATATATTGGAGATGCATGCTCAAAAAGTATTTATGATAGTGATTTTTGATCACTCAACTCTGATGATCCCAACATGGGGAGAGTGACCCTGTAAGAAACTAAGAAAATACTACTCTGGTTTAGACCACATTTCATTTCAGACCCATGTTGTGGGAAAACTGAATTCTTGCCATGATTCAACCTCACTAAATGTCAGCCGTGTTTCTCAAGCACCCTTACCTCTCCTTAAGAGCTCTCATCTGGCTGTAAATCTGTTTACACCTGAATAGACCTACTGTCACTTCTGAGGTGGCATGTACTCCCCCAGGGAAACGAGTTTCCTGGGGTTGTTGGCAGACAGGAAAAGTGGTTCTCAGTATTTGCCCTGAAATTCAGGAGGTCCTGAAGGGTATGCTCTGCTGCTGGCATTGTGAGCCGAGCTGTGCGGGCCTGCCTCACGCCCCCCACCCCTCTGTGAGGTGCTCACCTTCATTCAGTCTTAATTCTCTCTTCCATCTGCCTGTCTGAAATAGACCTCTCCGGACCATTTTTGTGCACTCCAGTGGTGCAGCAAGCTGAATGGTGTGCATTACTCCAAGTGTGATACAGCATAGTACAGCGCCTCTGTTTTATACCCAGGAGGGAGGAGTATCTGGTTTGCGGGAAGGGGAGACAGGAAGGTGAAAGAGAAGGGAAAAAGAGAGGGAAGACCTGATTTTGCATGAAACCTGCTGCATTTATCACTGAACTGCCATTTTCTTCCCTCTATCTCTCCCCCTCAAAGAAAGAAAGGCTTTCTTTTTTTCTTATACAAAGAAAGAAACCCAAGATTTTAATAAAATGAGTGGAAATCTTCAGGTAGGCTATTAAAATGAAAACTAATGCATGATGGCTAGAGGTGGGTCCACCCCCCAGATCAAGCCAGGGCCATGGGTGTCTAGGGAGATGCGGTCTTGGCCATGCTGAAAATACTAACAGAAGAATTTTGCTGACCTGCCTTTCGAGTACAATAGGTTTATGGAAGTGGTATAGAACCTGAAAACGAGGCCAGCCTAACCCCACAATTCCTGTGCCCTAAATATGAAGTCATATTCCCAATTCTTTTTATTTTTTCTGCTCCTCTCATTTCTGAGCTCTGCCTGTTTCAGGCACTGCTCCTTCATTGGGTATTCTCGATTATTGTAAATTTCTTATTAGTATTTGCAGAAATGTCAACTTGTAGGTAGACTAGCCAGACATTGGAAAAATGGTTTGATAAATCACTGTAATATAACATGGCTAAAATATCAGAGCACAAAGGAGCCTGTCATATTCTTCTGCATGGCATTCACCACAAGCAGGAAGCAAGGTTGGATGATAAGATTCAGAGCCACGTCAAGCTATCTGCTGTTTCTCTGCAGTGGACACAGCCACTAGGACACTGAAATAGCTTCCGGATAGGATAATTGATTTGTGCTGGGAATTAACTAAACATCTACCTCATTTTCTGGGAAATAACTAAATCCTTGATACTGCTCACCAAAATAAAACAAAACTAGTTAATTCAGCAAGAGGAAAAGCAAACACTTTGAAATTAAAAAAAAAAATGCCCAAAGACATTCACTTCAGTCTTCATTTTCTCTGTCTTTGCTGTGTCCTTCACAATGTGGTTGCCTGTGATAGATGGAGATGGGTCACTTCAATTGTGGGATTAATTTGGGGGACTGGATGTCTCTGCTTGTTGCTGTAGAGTTTCATGGGATTTCCTAGGTGCCTTGTTGCATCTGGGAATTGTTTGGTCTCTAAGGTTCCGGGCACCTCCAGTTTTACTTACACTTGCAGGCCTTTGGGACTGCAGGGCATTTTGAATTTCTGAAGTCTTAGGTGCCTCCTTCTTGTTTTTTGTTTGTGCCAGATTTCCCCTTGAAATAACAGAGCCTGGTGGGTGATCAATAGTATTAATAAGTGATGCCAACACCTCTCTCCAAGAAGGTACCAGGGTCTCTTCCTGCACCTTCCATATCCCACTCATGCAGAGAAGTACTAAAAATCACTCAGTTTTTTGGATCTGTTCTCCATCAATATACTGAGAAAATATTTAAAACTTCAAAAGGCTTTCTGTTTTCCAATATTTTGGCTGTCCCGAGTGACTCCAGACTTAGCTGTCTGGAGCCATGAGCGCTGAAAGTTTTTATTGACAGCTAGTTAGCCCTGCCGTCCTAGCAGCCACTGCACACACGGGGAGGAAAGGGAGTTGAGATGAATTGAATAGTTACTGTGTGCAAGGCTCAAGAAATACGTTTCATGCACAACGTATTTAAACCTCACAATAAACATGGGTTTATTAATAAGCTCACCCCCATTTAACAGATAAAGACACTGAGGCCGAGAGTCTGTAATGAACTCAGCAAGATCCCAAGTGTGCTGACTCCAAAGTTTTTGTGACACCTCCCCTCTGCTACCTTCCCTTCAGCCAGCGCATCTTTTCTAAACTTTTGCTTGCAGGAGCCAGAAGGTGAACTTTTAACACTGCTCATTGATTCATTTTTTTTTCCTGGTTTCCAAAACTGAATGGGTTTCCTCCTGTGCTTCCAGCCCTCCTTCATGTCCTCTTGGTTCTCTTTAAAAGAAATGCCTGTGTTTCTCATTTTTCTTCTCTGCGGGTTTTACAGAGCAGTGGCTCGCTAGGGCACCGATTTAATGAAATAAAATTTTCAAGCATGTTTGGTTTGATTCTAGGTGATACAAATAAAGAATTGTGAATGCTTTGTAGTCAGGTTTAAAGAGAAGGGGAAAGGTGGAAGGAAGAAAATAGGTCAAGTATAGTAGCTCGGTAATGTCTCCTTAAGGGCTGCCTAGTAAAGGTTTAGCTATTAAAAATGGAGACATAATGGAACAGCCAAAGTACTTTGGCACCTGTGTGTCCTGAAATTTTGAGTTTGGCAGTTTATAATATTTGCCAGTTATGTGAATGTTATACGTGCTGGGCACTGTTCTGATTAATATATAATGTGCACGGACATTGATCTATGCTCTCCAAACCCTTTGAGGTACATGCTGTGATTATCTCTAAGAAAGCAGAAGCACAGAGAGGTTTATTAATCTGCCCAAGGTCATACAATTAAGGACAAAACTGGAAGCTGAGCCCAGGAAAGTTGGCTTCAGAGCTCTTAAGCATGTGCTAACCTACCCCTCAGTGACAGGCCTTGGTAATTCAGTCTCATGATTTCACGGGGTTCCAAAGATTATTTTTCCTCTTAATTAGAACCAGCCCACCATACAGTTGGAAGAGTAAATATTTTTCATGTTTGGTGACAGACGTGATGGGTTAAAAGAAAAAAAAAGAAGGTCTAAGGCAAAGCCATGTACTTTCTCTAACACAGTCCTCCATCTGTATTTACTGTACGGAAAGGTCACTTGAGCACAAGTGTTCGAATTTCATGCTTATAAGCAGCTTTCCTGTGGCTAAAACCTTGCTCTACAAATTGATTTTAAAAATATTTTATGATAATATATATTGTTCCCTGATATGAACACTGTGGAGTCATTAAGTTATGAGCTTTCTAACTCAGACTTTTGTGACAGTATTTTGTGTAGCGTCAGGAATCATCGAGTGATTTTTGTGTTACTCTCAGGCTGTAGTCCTTTCTCCTGGCTGTCCATCCATCACATTTACTGGAAGGATCAGTGGTTCTGGGAGGCCTGAGCTGCTTGCCTTGTCAGCCAGCTACCTGGCTGCAGTTTGTGGCAGGAGGGAAGGGGAGGGAGAAGACTAAAAAGCCTGAAATGGCAAATTACTGTAGGTTCTGGAGAAAAATAGAATTAGAAGCATTTGTGGTTCAGATGAAAATAGCACATTTCCTTTCTGCCTGGACTGTGGGGGTCAGAGTGCTCTGGGGAATAGAAAATAAATAAAAATTGATCCCTCATCAGCCAAAGAAAATGCTCTGACTCTGGGAACTGAAATGACAGCGTCAGATTTGAGGATCTTGTGAAACCACTTTTGAAGGTTAACAACAAGAAAACAAAAAACACCAGGAGACTTGGGGGGAAAAAAGCGGGGTACTATGTTAGGAAATCTAGTCTTTCAAGAACGATTTAAACAGCCCTTTCCCAAGACTGGCCACCAGGCAGCAGGGCCTGATCAGGTGTGAGGCTGTTTTGTTCCTTTCGCTGACCAGGGACCTTCCATCTCTTTCTGCAGGTGAGAAGCCTTACAAGTGCTCATGGGAGGGATGCGAGTGGCGTTTCGCACGAAGCGATGAGCTCACGAGGCACTACAGGAAACACACAGGTGCAAAGCCCTTTAAATGCAACCACTGCGACAGGTAAAGAGACTTGGAGGCTGCTGGGTTGGGGAGGGGAGAAGGGGGTTGAAGGACGAGCCGTATGTGTGCTCTTATTACAAGCCCGGCTCACAGATGCTGGGCCTGGGAATGCCGTTTCCTTCTCCACAGAGAGGACCAATAGGGTCCCCTTTTGCATGTAACCAAGAGGTGGTACGAATTCTTGGTTCAGTTATACAAGTGTTTACTGAACACTAGCTTTGGGCCAGAAAGTGTGTTCATCACTGGGTATCAACAAGGCAGAGTTGCTACCCTCAGGGAGATGACCTGACAGATCATTTTAGCATTAATATCATATGCAAAGTAATAGGATAGAAAATAGTCACCCGTAGCTACTTCTTCTGATGTTTTTATCCACGTCAATACCACTTTCCCTCATCCTTAATAATATGAGAGAATAGAAAGGTTGTCCAATGGAAGGAAGGTTGGTTATAAGGCTTTTCTCTGAAGCATTATGGGAAATGAATTGTACCAAAGAGAGTTCCCATTGTTTGGGTGCCCGCACCATTCCTTCTTCCTTGAAAATAGGTACAAGGGTGCAAAAGATGGCAAGGCTTTGAGAACTTACCCTGTAATTCAATTTCAAGCCTTCAGCATTTGATAGTGGAAGAAAGAGCACGTAGCAACAGATACTACCCAAGTAATAGTATCTGACAGCCCTGGCATTATCAACCAATAAACCCCAAAATGGAGACTCTGCAGGCCAAGGTGAAGGCAGGATTAGGTTTAGACATAATCAAATAATGGGCTTGCATCTGAGCGTGTTATCCTTCTAATCCTATTTCTGTGTTTAAAAGGAAGCTTAAGAAAATTAACCATCTTTTTAATGCAATACTAAAGGTCTCGGTTATGATGAGAAAAATGCTTCTAATACGATAAAAGCCCCTGAAAGCCTCAGGCTTCCCCGGCTGGGCCAGCAGCTCGCAGGATGGCAGGAGGGGGTGTGCAGGATGGCAGCAGGGGCCTGGCTTTTCTTGGGAGGAAATGCGATCACGGTCACATCCTGCCTCCCCCAGTCCCTGTGCCCCGCACCTCCCTCTCCCTAGGCCTTCCTGTGTAGTAGTGTTTGTTTAGAGAACAGGGCAGGAGTGTCCAGGTATCATAGGCGACCAGGTTGGCTTGGTGCTCCTTGAACATGCTTATAAAGAAGCAATAGTGTCTTTCTTCCTTTTTCCTTCCTGCTTCCTGAAGAGGCTATTTTCTTCTTATCTTCATTCTCTAAGAACTAAATAAAGATCCCATGCCTCCTGGAGCCCAGAGATAACCTCCCACCCAGGGCTAAGGAAGTGTACTTCATGCAGCTATTGTCTCCCAGTCCCTTGGAACTTTGTTCTGCTACCCAAGAATATAAGTCAGTGTTTAACTTCTATGTCATTACCTAGAAGTCCCCCTGAACTTGCATGAATCAGCAGCTATGTTCTACAGGGTATGCTCCAGTAAAGTTTCTCCATATTTGACATGTTCCTTCAACTCCCATGTCAAATTTCCCTGGTCCACTCCTCTCCTGCCCTGGCTAATAAAGAAGCCATGCAGATGGCAACTCTCTGCCCACAACCCTTGGAGGGAGAGTGTTCCATTGTGTCAATTGGGACAAAGATGAACTCTTTGTGAGCTGTCAGAATATGATGGTAGTAGGTACACATAGCTGAGGCTGTGAACTTGGCAATTATGAGCATTATGGGTTGTCATAATCCCTAGAAACGGTCAAAGAGTTTTTATGGGGAAATTGCCAGAGTTAATATTCCTCTCTTCAAATCAACTGACTTACGGAGGAATTAACAGTCTTCCAGCAGTTGATATATTAGGATTAAATCTAGCCATTTGTATGACTTAATGTGGAGAAATTCTGCAAACCCACCGGGTATTTCCATGAAGGAGATGTCAGAGATGGGTAATTTGGCTACTCTTTTGCTTTGTTTTCTTCATCAAAATATACTGTGATTTCTGGAGCTGCAAATTTGCCAAGCAAATGTTACAAATTCCACGACATGGTATTTGGGGGAGATTGAGTAGATCAGAGTCCTGTGACATAGGCCAATAGTGCATTTTCAACAGTGTCAGAAAGGAGGGGTTGGACTCTGATTAGCGTCTCATGACAGGCAGCACCTTGCGTTTCAACTGCAGCGACTGTACTAAGAATAGACAGGTCTGGGAGGTGCATGGGGAACTGGAGTAGTCCCAAAGCAGATGAAAGGAAAGCTTGCAGTGACCGGGGAGTTGGCATTCCTTAGAAGACTTTTACCTTCAGAAACAGAGGGCATCTGTAGCCTTTGGCAGGACACTGCATCCTACTGGTAGCACAGTATATATGAGTGCATTACCTCTTGCCTGTTAAAATTTGAACAATCAGACTGCCTTATTTAGAAACTAAATAGGCTTTGGATTTCCTTTCCTTAAACATGTACCAAGTCTAACTTAGGCTTTTATTTTGCCTAGAGGGTAGTTTAAAACATTCATGAGGTTTTTTGGGTTTTTTGGCCAACATTTAAAATCGTTAAATGTCACACCAAAAAAGTCTATATTTCTGGCTTTGTCTGGAAAAATCAGATCTGGCCACAGTGGGCTCACATTCCCATGTGGCTGTAATTGGCTGGAACCGAATAGCAATCACTACCCATTTGCAATGGCCATGTGATGACTATTTTTCCACTGTTGCTGCCACTCCCTATGGCCTCCACAATGAGACAGCAAGCCATCGGTTGCCAAGTCTTATCACACTTGCTGTGTCTTTTAGTCTTACAAGTAGAGCAATATTTCTTCTTATCCATGCCTTAGCAGAAGTGCAAAGAGACAGTCCAAGAGTGCGGTGTCTTCCTTATACTTGGCCTGCTGCATGCACTTACTTTATCTGCCTGACCCCTGCAGACACTGAGTTTTATGACCTCTGGCTTCAGGTTTGGGTTGAGAGAAAAAGCAATGAGGTGGCTGTACCATTTCCTCACCAGCAGACTGGACGGTGCAGCCCACTGAGTGACCGGCTGCTACAGGCATGAGTTGTTTCTCAGCCCACAGAGCAGAAAGCTGCTCTTAGAGGTAAATAGGCCTCTGTTTCCATTAGGGGTAACATGCAGGCCACCGTTGTGGTGACTCAACACAGTTATAATCCAGGGAGGCTGCTACCAATGTAGGACGTCCAAGATCATGGACAGTTTAGAGGGGGCATTTTGACCTTTGTCTCCCCACTTACTGGGGTAAGAAATACCAGCCAGTATCTTAGCCCTTTGGTCCCCTGGAGGGTTGCTGTTGCTTAATGCCTATGTGACTTCAGTGTGCCTTTTTCCTAAGCAAGAGAAATGACTATGGGGTTTGACTAGTTGTCCATTGTGTACAATTACCAATCATTAAGGATCTTCTGATTGGAGGTCATCTGGCTGCTATACAGTTATGAATACCTTCTGGGGGCGTATTACCCTTAAGACCATTTGATTCTGCATTTCTAGATGCCAAGTTTATCTGTTACCTTTTATTATTCCTATGTGGAATTCAGTCAGTGTAAATTAATAAACATAAATTAATCATGGCTAAGTATCTTGCCGACATACTGAATTTAAATAAAAATCTCAATGATGAGGGAGGGACCTAGTCTAATTTTAAACATCATATGTTTTCTAGAATTTGAACAAATAATGATGCTTATTTGTTTCAGTAGGGGTGCAATTACATTTAATACCACATTAAAGATTTGGTTTGGTTTTTCCCACTGTTTTTCCTGAAATAACTTGAAGGATAAAGGCAGATGCTTATACACGTATTGCTAGATACCCAGCAATTGGGAGAGGCACAGTTAAAGTTAAACACATACATTTCTGAATGGTATTTTTCAAATAAAGTTCTATATCAAGACTACTATTCTCCTGAAAGTTGTCAGGATATAGAAAGGAAAGGAAAGGGCTTTTGTCCACTGCCAGAACCTGTCTTCATTCTTACGATCTCAAATTCCTGCATTCCTCCTTTGGACGGGCAGGATGCGTGGTGCCTACCCTGTTGTTTCTCACAGGTCCTTACTGCTCAGGCCTGACCAGCTGTAACCTCTGCATTCATTCTCTAGTTGCTGCCATGACCAATTGCCACAAATTCAGTATCGTGTTTATTTACTTTGCAAGTTTATTATCTTACACTGCTGTAGGTTAGAAGTCTTAGCCCTTTGGTCCCCTGGAGGATTGCTGTTGCTTAATGCCTATGTGACTGTACTGTGCCTTTTCAGTGGGCTAAAGTCAAGGTGTTGGCAGGGCTGCCTTCTTGTCTGGAGGCTCTGCAGGGAAGAGATCTATTACTTTGCCTTCACGACCTCATTCCTCCGTCATCACAGCTGTTATGTCCTCATGCTGTCATCTCTCTGGTTCTCTCTTTCAATTCTTGCTTCATTTTTAAGGACCCTTGTGATAGCATGGGGCCCACCCAGATAATCCAGTTAATCTCCATATTTTCAGGTCATCTGATTAGTAAATTGATTCCATTCATAACCTTAATTCCCCCTTTCCATGTAACAGAACATAGTTTCTGGGGACTAGGTGTAGACACCTGAGGGGAGAGCATTATTCTGCCTACCACAAGCTCCTTAAATTGATAGCTCAGCTCTCGTTCTTTCTTAGACTAAAAAGCAGATGTGCCTAAGAGCATGGGCTCTTGGAGTCAGGCTGCATGGGTTCAAATCCTGGCGTGGCCTCTTTCTGATGAATATCTCATCTGGTAGTGGAGATAAGAATGGCACCTTCTTTATAGGGTTCTTGGAAGGATGTTAACTTTAAAAAATAAATACATACAAAAAGAACTTCCCAACTTGGATCCTCTTTCTCTAGGTTGTTGAGATTTAAAAAAAAAGGAGGGAGAAAAGGAAAAAGGAGGAAAGGCAAAGAGGGAGGGAGGGAAAGAGAACAGGCAGTGGGCAGTAATGAGCTATGCCCTCAGGACAGCACAGTTATGCAAGTTAGATGCTAAATTCCTCGAGGCTGTATTGCTTTTTCTGTGTACCAGTGACATCAAGTACTTGCTTTTAAAGAAAACTTATCACTGTTTTATAGCAAATCAGATTCCCTTTAGAGGTATCTCAAAGGGATTATCCAAATATCTTGCTCATACCAAATCAGGGCCTGAAATATGAGGGTGTAATTGGAATTTTTATTATTCAGTGTGTTATTGGATTGGATCGTTTTCTGCCGTACCTTTCCTATTCTTAATGTGTTTTTCATTTTACCTTTGTCCTATTTGACTTCGTTTCCTTGAGAGTCTATCCTGCATGTGTACCTATTTAAGGAACGGACACAAACAGGGCGTGGAGAATGTTGAGGTCAGGGGAAAGGGTGGATTTTTTTGTTTGTTTGTTTTAAGAATGAACAAACACAGGGAAATCCTGCACTGAACAGGAAACTCTGCTAACCTGAACAGGGCAGTTTGCTGACGTTCTAATAAGAGTTTTGAACTGGAGGGGTATCTCAGGCTTCAGGGGAGCCTGGAAACTTTCTTATAGGTAAGAAAGTGGCCAGTTTCAGGAGAAAGATCCGGAGAGAGAACATACACTCAGAGCTAAGAATGATTCTGTCTTATATGCTGACTTTACTGGAATTCTACCCAAAACCTTCGATTGTAGGCTGCCGTGATATGGAAGCGCCCATGTTATTAGTTATAAGATACAGAAACCTGACCCCGACTGGTATTAACCTCAAAGGGCATTTATTTATTAGCTCGGGTAACTAAGAAGAACAGAATTAGATCTGTCTTTAGACTCTGCTGGATCCTGGTCCTCAAGAGTTGTCATCAGAACTCTTCCTTTCTCTTTCCATCCCCCGAGTCCCTTTGTCCCTGTTGCCTTTGCTCCCGAGCATGCTCTTCCCCAGGATGGCAGTGTGGACACCAGCAGCTCCAGGCTTCCATCTCAGCAGCCCAGCAGCGCCGGTGGAAAGAGGGCTTCGCTATTCCAGTCCTTTCGGCAGATGTCCCCGGGCTGGCTCGTATTGGCCTTTAAGGGTCACATGACTGTTGTTTAGCCGATTACTGTGGCCACAACTTCAGCCTTAGGAGGAATGTCAGCCCCACACAAATGAGGTTATAGAAGGGTTGCTACTCAGGAGAATGTCATGTTACTGGTGGTAGAGGAGAGAGGAAGGAAGATGACCCCTGCATCCACTGTGATGCTGAGGAAGCCACTCAGTTATGGACCTTAGGTACCAGGGAACAGTTGAAAAGAGTAGGCTCAGAGAACTGCCTGGGTTCCAACTCAGCCATTCACTGGCTATACAACCTTAGCCTCAGTTTTCTTAGCCCCGCCCTCCCAACACACACACAAAGTGTGAGAATGCTTACTATGGTGGGTTGCTGAGGATGTTATGGGGTAATATTGGGGAAACCCTTAGCAAGTGCCTGCATACGGTAACACAGTAACTGTGAGCACCCTTCTCCATTCTTTTTCTTGACTTGAACATAGAGCGTCTGCATAGGTCTGTAGGTATTTCTGGGCTTTCATTGTAAAGCTCAGGATTGAAATCTGGGTGTTGAAACATCAGAATTGCACCATTCGTTGGTACAGGGTAACTATTCTTTACCGTATTTACAGTATATGGGCATGACACAGGTTTCAAAAGCACTTTCCTACTCATTTTTTTTGATAATTACAATTATGATCGTTAGAGTTAACATACACTGAGATCTCACCATGGGCCAGGCAATATTCTAAGCACCTTACATAGATTGTCCCATTTAATCCTCACAGCCAGCCTATGAGGTAAGTTATGTAGTTATCCCCACTTTACTGAGGAGAAATTAAGGTACAGAGAGGTTAATGTGCTCAGAGTCACACGGCTCTTGAGAGAGCTGAGATTGGAACCCAAGCAGTCTGACCCTTGAGCTTACCTTCCCAACACACTGCCCTGTTTCTCAATACACTGTCTCTCTGTAAAGCAAAGGTAATCATTTCCTAAGGAGTGATGGAAGTTGAGTTCTTTCCTTGGACCTCACTAATATCCTCGTTGTTGCTTCTATTTCCTAGGTGTTTTTCCAGGTCTGACCACCTTGCCCTCCATATGAAGAGACATATCTAAAAAACCGGAAGGCCAGAGTTGCCATGGCGTCAGCCGATGTCTGAAGGAAATGCCGTGAGCAGGGGGCTGGACTTCAGGCGGGGACCCATTGCCTCGCAGAAGAAAGTTCTCACTTATAAACCTCTGTGTACACACACACATACACGCACACTCACACGCAGACCCCCCCACACCGTCATGCACTCAACTATATTTAAAATATATACGTCTATTCGTTATGCCTTGCCCTAGCCAGATGGTGGAAGACGAAGAAGGAGACCAGGTGAACTCAGCAAGGCAGACTGGCTGCTCACTTCAGCACTATTGGAATTATTTCCCGCTGTTGCCAATGGAAATCACAGAAAACGGATGTGACGTCTCTGCAGGTGGACGGCAGTCCGAGGGGCTTATTTAACTTGCTTCTCAGTGCAACTTGATAGGAGAATCCAGCGTCTTACAGTTGCATATGTGTAGCACTAATGTTTCTTTTTAAATAGTTGGGGGAAAATGACCTAGAAAACCAAATTGCAGTTTGGTAGCCAAAATTAACTCTTGGTTTATTTGTCCTTTGTGTGTGAAAAGTCCTACTATCCCATGCGTCAGACTTCCTCACAGAACTGTCGATTGGTTTTGGTTCTTCTTAGTACTATTGAGATCTTTCGCGTCGATCCCAACGGCCTTAGCGGCGGCAGACTCTGGAATAACACCTTATACCTTTCTGGCCTGCGTTTCTCTAGACTTCACTCTCAAGGGAGGAGTTTTCTTTTCTTACTTTTTGACTCTTGCACACCATATGCACTAGGGATTCTGGAAACTTCTAGCATGACTGCAAAGTGGCCAAGAGAATAAAGTCCTTGATGATAAATCACAGTATATCCCTTGAGCCTCACCTTATTGCCAGTGCTAGATTTTTTCTTTTTAATCTCTCTGTTTTTGCTAACGAAAACTTGAAAAGCTTATTTGGAAGCTTAGATGTTTTATCTTTTCTCCATGGACTAAAAGCTCTCCAGGACTCTCCCGGCACCTGGATGTCCAGCTCTCGAAGCAGCCGATCAGATGGGACATCACAGTTCTCTCGTCCTCCCTGAGGCATGATGACCTCAGCTCGTGGTGATCAACCACTGCTGTGTGTCATTGCTACCCTATAACCAGTTACGGCGTAGATGTCGCTAGTGTCAGAGGGCAGCTGCGTATTTAATCTAACTCTGGGTTATGACCTGACAAAAAGCCAAAAATATCACTCTTTCCAGGAGTGGGGAAAACTGAGGATGCCTCCAAGTCTAGTGGCTTCACAAAACATCACCCAATCTTCCTCTCTCATACCCACTGAGCTCATATTACCCCACTTGTTACAATACACAATTCAGAATGCCATCGTGGTATTGAAGGGTTGACATTTAAGGAAAGGGTTGAGGTGTTTCTCTCATGGGCTGTCTAAAAGGAAAGACATGTCTCTTATTTTTTTGTTTGTTTGTTTTTTTGGTTTTTTGGCTAGGCCCACCAAGACTCGTGACCTAGAATACCCAGGATCAAGAGAGGCCTCACATTCACTCTGCAAGCCAACTCCAAGGGGGTCTGCAGTCCTTGTCATACCACACACACACACCCAACACTGGTCTCTATCTACCCGCATTCCTAGCTAGCTGGCACTGGCCTCAACTCCAAAGACTGCCTTTAGGACCATCAAATGGCCTATGCAAGCAAGCGGGGTGGTTATTAGGACAGATTGTATATTTTGTATATTCTGGGACCATCCCTTCAAGACACGTCTATAACACAAAAATGGCATTTGGTCCGCACATGGTTGCTGCTTCTCCCTACCAGCTGGCTCTCTCCTGTCCTCCTTTGACTGTTTGACTCATTGACTGTTAAAATGCCACCCCATACATATTTGGGATGCAAAACTGAAGTCTTTAAAAGGAAATAATCATATAAGAAACACAAACACATATATGACAGCAACCTTCAAGATCCTTGGCATTTGGGTTTTTTCAGCTTTCTGCAACCTTTGCTTTCACTGAAATGTCGAAACTACTCGTCTGAGGGTAAAGGAACCTCCTTATCACAAATGCTGTAGCTGCCAATTGGACACTTGGGGCATTTTCAGGTCTGGCCCTAAGAATTTTCTCTCTCTTTTTTCCTTTTTTCAATTTAGACCAAAAAACAAAACAAAAAAAACAAAAAAAAAAGAAAAAAGAAAAAAAACCCCAAACACACACGTAAAACCTGTCCATTTGCCAGAGGCAATTATGTATATGTTAGTTGGAGGGTATTAAAAAAATCCGTTTTATTCCAAAGATTTAAAACTAGACATGACTTAGAAACAATTTCTGGAGCACTGCTTGCTGACAATCTCGTAGTTCTCTACTGCATTTGAGTGCATTTTGTGGCCAGTCCATCAGGGCGTACCATGGGATTATATTTGAATGTGTGGTGCATCCTTCCTGGACGAAGGATGTGTGAGGAACCTTGAACCTCAGCTGTATTAAACTGTAGCGCCTCCAGTCAGTGCACTAGATGAAACTTTAGATACCCCAAATTTTGTTGGTTCGTTTATTTTCCTTTCTCTAGCAGCCTCCAGCATGAATGCACGCACACACCAGTGATGGCATTAAGCCGTGGCTGCCACGATTTGCAAATGTTCTCTCCTAAGCTGGAGCTGCTCTTGCCTCTTGAAATGCTATTATTAAGGGTTTATAATACTTAATTTAATTTTTGAACTGACCAATGCAAGGCTCTATTAAAAAGAAAGTTTAAAAAAAAAAAAGAATGCAAAAGAGTAATCATTGCTTGTTTGCTCCCTATTGTCATCTGTGGTCTCATTTGAATGTGGCAGAACAAAGACCCTTTGGTCCTCATCAGTGTCTGAAACCTTTGGTAATTTCTCTCTCTTTCGTGTCAGTGAGGTCCTTTGTAATCTGCTCCTGAACTTCCTCAGAGCAGGGTGCACTGAAACTCCATGGTGGTGCTTGCTTGCTTCAGAGTCATTCATTGACTGTGTGAATTGGCCTAAGAATTTGGTGGGTGCTAAGTGGTTGGCTTTGAAACTGTTCTTCTTTAGCCCAGATGACACTTTTGAATGATGGCCAGTCCTAACCTTAGGGTGGGGGTAGCCTTGATCATTTTGGGAATGGATTTGTGATAAAATGTCCATCACCTCTGAAATGACAGAGATGGTTGCTAAGAGCCTCTGGAGGGAACAGACTTTCCAAGAAATATCCTGAAGACATTTTGCTCCCAAGAGGCCTGGTTATTTTAAAAAGTACCTTAATGGACATTTGGCACACATGTTTAAGTTGTTACCTCCTAACATTCCTGGGGATCCCAAATTTGAAAGGAAAAACCCAGTCTGGTGTTTCTTGTGGTTGTCCTCACAAGTACACCTTATCCAGGGTTCAGAGTTGGACGTATAGAAAAAGAGTTTCTAAGCCAGGGACAATTTCCTTTATTTCAAGTCATACTTCTTTCTCCTACCACATGGCTGTACGTCAGAGACGTGGAAACCTGAAATCATAATACTGCTCCTAGTTGCTGGCCTCCTGCCCCACAAATGGTTCATTGGCCCAGCTTAATGCCTGGTGGTGATGAGTATTATGTCCAGAAAAAGAGATGTTCAGATTCCATGACAAAGTTGCATTTTGTAAAAACATTGGCGACCCCCAAATGAACTTCATGCTGACCGTTTCCTTCTCTCTCTGTGCTTTCCCTTGCAAAGCCCTTCAAATACTCCCTTCTCTCGAGGCCATCTCCTCCCCACCTGCACCTCTTGTGCCCTTGCGCATCTTCGAATGCCTGATTGTAACAGGGTAAAAAGACAGCCAACCTCATGCATGATTAGCAGAACTGATTCCTAGCTTTAAAAAATCTTCTTTGAAGCCAGAGAAGATTTTTTAAGGACTTTAGTTTGGGATGGACTTCCAGATTATCCATGTCTATTTGCATCAAAGGGGAAATAAATGGCACTTTTGGGTGGCTCGTCTAGTGCATTCGGGAACATTCTGCCTCTAGCTCTACTTGCCTGCATTCTACTGCAAAGCCAAAAGAAGGAAACTCAAATTGCAGGAACAACAAAACCAGATGATTAGTTTTGGTGGTTCAAAATGATTTCCTCAATGGAAGTCACTTCGCAAACTGTAGAATCTAGTGGGAAGTGCTTCTCTCACATGGATTGTTTTTAGGAGAAGGTAGGGAAAAGTCAGAGAGCTGCAATACATTTAAATACAAAAATCAGGTTTGTTGTTTCTTTCTTTAAAAAAAAAAAAATCTTACCATGGCCAGCATTTCTGGCTGCAATTTTGCACCCAGAACATTGCCAAAGTGAACATGCAGTAAGTAGAACCTGGTTGAAATTTACTCCTGGAGGCTTCCCCTTGCATATTCCGGAAGTGGCCACCTGCCGAGCACAGGAGTGGGGGGGTGCGGGACAGGAGGGGAGGACTTGCATTTGGGGTGTGTGGATTAAAGTTCGGTAAACATGGTGATATCTCAGTTTGAAAACAAGAGGGCCTACTCTGAGTATACATCAATGCCTTTTTGATGGCCTATTTCCTCAGTGAGGATCTTTGGGAATACTTGAGATGGAACAACAGAAATGTGTCAAAGGAAGCAAAAACTGCTTGTAAATAACGTGACATCCCATGACTAACTGCCTGAGGCTTCAGGGTTTTCTCTTGCTTTTAACACTCTCTTAAATCTCCTCTGTTGGTTCCTAATAGATCCCAGAAAGGGGAAAAATAAAGCTGCAATTAACTCTCTCATGTGCATCCTTCCAGTAGAGTACTGTATTCTGCAGGTGTTTTGCATTTACGTGAAAGTCCTCGGGGAAACAGGTATCAAAAATGGCGAGAGAAATCCCGGGCGGTCCCTTCACAAATATCCCAAACAAGATACTCTTTTCACACAGGGCTCCCTCTCAGTGGTCACGGGGGAAGGTTGATACGTTCTTTGGTGGGGACTGTTTATACAATTTTTTTTTTCAACTGTGAGCTTTGGAATCGTAAATCGCTTTGACTCCAGCTTCTGTCTACTGCCATAAAATGGACCCCACGTCAGAATAATGAGGGTGGTATGTATGCACGCACCTAGACAGGTGTGCATATGTACCTGTCGTACCTTCGCAGAAGGAAAACAGGCTACTGACATTTCAGAGGAGTAGCCACCAGTGCCTAATACCTTTTGGGGGGATGGATGCTTATAATTGCCAGTATATCGAAACCACACTGGGAGTTCCACATAGAGGGGAGGGGCAGTGGGTGGGGAGAGGGGACATTTTAATCCTAGGCCTTTGGACTGGAGGCAGAGTGATTTCTGCACACCTAGGTCCTGAAGGCTTTGGGGCTCATTGGCTGGTTCTCGACCTTTTTTTTTTTTTTTTTTTTTCCCAGCATGCATCTCCTATCTAAACCCAGACTTAGTTTAATTTCCTTATCTTTTACTTCTGCTTCATTCCAGGGAGGAAAAATACACATGTTATGGCCAACATCTCCTTGCTAACACACAGAGGCAAAAATAAATGTTTAATGTTTTTGAAGCCTCCCCTTCCTTTCCACAAGCCCCTCCCCTGAGCTCCTTCTCCCTCTTCTTCATCCACCACACAGCTTCCCAGCCACCATGACTTTTCTTTCACAAATCTCTTTTATCCTCTTAACAGTTGCTTGAAGAAATTTATTTTTTGCACTATACATTTTCTTTTTGCCAGATGTGTCTAACAAGTGTGTTTGGAGAGACCTACTCCCAGCCCCTCCCCTTCCCCGCCTCCCCCCGTCACATTCTCTCAGGCCTTCTCTGGTATTTATAATATATCACAGAAGTACCCAGTCTTATAGCCCTCGGTTATGCCTTTTTTTGACATTTTATTTTTTTTAAGCTTTTTATATATATATATAAATATATTACTTTGTCAAGTTTTTTTGCTGTACAAAAGTCTTAAGATTTAAAACTATTATTTGTATTATATGATGGTGGTATGTTAATGTTACAAAATTATTAATGAAGAAAAAATTTATTTTTGTTACTGGTCTGTTTCATAATTCTTTTTTAAATTGGTATATTGTAAGATATCTATGCAAAAAATGTTATGTGACGCATTTTTATTTAAGAATGTAATATGTGTAATAAACAGTAGAATGTGTTTGGCCTTGGAATGACTTACTGTATTTCTCCTTAGCTGATTTCACTGGGGGAAAAAAAATCCTCAAAGAGACACAAACCGGTACTTATATGCCTCATGAAAGTTTTCTTTCTCAGAGAAAGGGAAGGTAAAAAGTTGTATTGGGTCATTTTTCTTTGTTTGGGAAGGGGTGTGTGTGTGTTTTATGGTGCCAATGCAAGTAGCTCAGTGCCCGAATAAGAAGGGACGCTGGAGGCAGTTTATTTCTTCGAGGGGAGAAAGGGAGCAAATGGTTGGAGGTTATGAAAAGCAATATTTTAGAATGAGGTAGATTATGGGATGTTATTTGTTTAGGGGGTTGGGAGAAGCTTATTGAAAGCAGTTTATTTGGTGAGAGAAAGGGGTCGTTTGTTCTGGGACGGTGTTAAATAGAGGCATACTTGGAAAGGACCATTTGAAGCAGTTTGCAGGCGAAGGGAAGAATGGCACAGGTCGCAGGGAATAATCTAGGTGAGGGAGGGGAGTGAAATTACAGGAGATGGTTGGCCGCAGGGTGAGCAGGGTGGGGAGGAAATGGTGACTCAGAGGCCTGGAAAGTCTGGCTGCTACGCAGAGTCCAAAAAGGCAGATGCGAATACAAGCAGACTCAGACACGGAGAAAAGAGGGAGATGAAAGGCCTAGGGAAAATTCTTACAAGTGAAAAGAACAATGCTAAAATCTCCTCTGCCACACACGCCTTCCAAGAAAGAGCATCAAAGTGAGGAGGAAGGTAGAGAATCCAAGCGGCGGTGTCATCCCGGCATCCCTTGCTCGTTGATTCCCCAAGAGACGCAGTGTCATTAACGGGAAGCCACAGTAGAACACATTTGTCACAGGGGACACAGAGCTGTGCAAGCTTTCTTTTCATTCTTTGGACTGACTTACAGAAACATACGACGGCAAATAACCTCTGTTTCTCACTAAATCAGTCCGACAAACTTTTCAGTAAATTTTCACGTTAGAAACGGTGGCCACTGCCCCCACACCTGCTGTGTGGGTACAGGCAGTTCTCAGGATCTGAACGGGAAAACGCTGTAAGCGGGGCAGGGAGTTTGGAAGGGAAGCTGAGTGATCGTGTCCTAGCCCTCCTAACACTCAAGGTAAAGAGAACAGTGGGTGCTGCAGGGGCCTGGAACACGGTTTTGAAAATGTAAATATCAGCTGCCGCAGCTCCCACACAGGCAAGGGGGCTAAGTGACAGCAGTCCAAGGCTGACTGAAGGAAACTTCCTGATCCCGTGGGGAAAACACGCAGACCCACCTCCTAGTCCCTGCTCCTTCAGTGGCTCCAGGACTAGCTAAGTAATTTAATTCTTATAACAAAAATCTTTTACCTGGAAATCTCTCTGAGTGAGAAAGGATAAGATAGCTTGGCAGTATTACCTAGAATAAGGTTTATTATTTCACTTCCCTGACTTGTGAAAAGATATCAATTTGGACATTTTGGGTGGGGGACAAACTGCACTGTGCTAAAATGTTCAGACGAGAGGGTGGTAAGTCTAATTTATTTGGCATAAGGAAATGAGATGGTTTATATAAGTGAATATTTTAGAGGACTTAAGCTTACGTATTTAGAAACATAATTTTTGCTCAACATAGGTCTAAATATACATTGCCCACTTTACCACCTTTTTAAGCATCTGTCTTTGCAATATAATGTAAATTCAGGATGACTCCAGACTGCAGGGTTGCTTGCCCGGCACTAAATGACTTTACACTTTCTATTGGGTGATTCTACTTTGTCTGCTATGTTCTCCCTCTTTGGAAGTGGCAAGTTCTTTGTGTGGCATCTTGATGCAAAATTTATCACCTTGTCATCTAGCAGATGAAATAAGCAATTTTGGTAACTCCTTAAGTGCAAAAGTAACTATAACGCAAGTCCTATAGGTAGCAGTCTGAAAGTGTAGACCGCGTGTCGCAGTGAGGTGCGTGGACCTTTCAATAGTGGTAATCTGAGGTTGTGCGTGCAGTTGGGGGTCTGGGCTGATGGCAAGCAGCCTTATAAAAAGCAGAGTTCAGTGCAATTGATAAATAATTTAGTATTTTCAGCTCATCTTCCACTTACAGGTTTAGAAGAGGAGATGGCTAAACTTTTAACTGAAATAAGATTTTCAGACTGCTGGTAGATGATGGTTTTCTGGTTTATCTATGATGAGCCAATTCACAATTCCTTTTCCAACATTAAATATTTTATCTGTGATTTTTAAAACTATCAATATTGATCAGTTTGAAAGTAACCTATTACTTTTTTAAACATTCTGCCTGATCATAATATAGCTATATATACCATAACACTATATTTTAAAAGAATGAAATGACAAAGAGAACAAGATTTATGTTTGTTCTGTAAACATTTATTTATGTTTATAGAATTTTTCATTTCACACACACTGCATTTGAGCTGTCCAGCAAGACTGCATAAACTGAATAGGTTTTATTCACTACCATGACCATCTGCCCACACAAATGGAGAAATCGGGGACACAGAAAGATAAATACTCCATGATGTCATTTGTATGTAGAATCTAAAAACGTTGCACTCATGGAAGCAGACGTAGGGTGGTGGTTACCGGGGAATGCAGGGGAGAGCAGGGGGAAGGGGTTGGGGAGATGGTGGTTAAAGGGTACAAAATTTCCTTAGGAGGAATACAAGTGATCAACTGAACGACATGGTGACTATAGTTAATAACAATGTATTGTATTCTTAAAAATCGCCAAGAGAATAGCTCTTAAGTATTCGCACCCCTCAAAATGATAAATATGTGAGATAATGCATATGTTAAATTAGCTCGATTCAGCCATTCCACAATGTATACATATTTCAAAACATCATGTTATACATGATAAATATACACAATTTTTACTTGTCAATCAAAATATAATTAAAAAAACAAGTAGAGAAACCGGGTTCAAGGAGGGCAGGTGACTTGGTCAAGGCCCAGTGAACACAGTAAGTGGCAGAGCTGGTCCTCACGTTCCCTGACTCCCACCCAGCAGACTTAACTCTACACCCCACTGCTTCAGGGTAAACAGGAGCTAACTCCGTGCTTACGTACGTCTCCAACCGTGGTATCACAATTGGCAACACTGACTTCATCTCCCCATTTCCTCCCCACTAGTTACGAAGGTAATCTGTAATATAGATAGCGTCATCACATGCTAGCATTGGACGGGATCTTGGAGATCTTCAATGCCACCATTCTACTTGAGTCAGCTGAGGCTCAGAGAAGTTCCAACTTGCCCAAGGTCATGGTCACACAGCATGTCCTTTGCAGAACAGGAGTCGATCCCTCAGTGTTGATATGCAGTGATATTCCACTGGTCTTGGCAGCGTTTCTTAAACTTTAGTCACTTGAGTGCAACCTTCAAGATTCTTGTGATATCCTTGTGATGTTAATTACTTCCTTAGTATTTTTTCTTTAAAGTGACACACCTTTTAAAACCCTAAATACTTGTTTTAGCTTTGTCCTAAGCAAAAATATTTCCAAAACTACTGGTTTGATAAACTGTTTTCCTTTTAAGTACAAATGAAAATAAATAAATAACTCAAAATAAAAATACATATCTTTGTGTTGCATTAAAACGCTCAGTTACTACTGGTGG